CTGCCAAGAAGGCCCTTTGTCTACAAGCCATCCCTCTTGCCTCCTTGAGGGACGGCTCTTTCAAAAGGGCCCCCTGGCTAGATCTTAACTGCTGGGTAGGTTCATATGGAAGGAGGCGGTCCTTCAGTTACCCAGGGCCCAAGCCATTTAGGGCTTTATATGTCAAAACAAGCACTTTTAATTGGGCCCAGGCAGCAACTAGTAACCAAGGTAATTTAATCAGAATCGGCTTGTTATGTCCCCTAGCAGCCCCAGCACTCACCAGTCGCGCAGCTCGATTCTGGACCAGTTGCAGTCGCCGGACTATCTTCAAAGGCAGCCCCACGTAGAGCGCATTGCAGTAATCTATACAAGATGTTACCACTGCATGTGTAACTGTCATGAGACTCCGCTCGTCCAGGTAGAGCCATTGCTGGTACAATTTCTGCAGCTGAAGGAAGGCGCTCCTGGCCACCGAGTCCACCTGGGCTTCCAGAGTTAGACTGGGGTCCAGGAGCACCCCCAAGCTGCGGACCCTGTCCCTTGGGGGGAGTGTAACCCCATTCAGGGCAGGGAAATGGCCCTCCAGCTTATAAAGGCAGGTGAACAAGGTACACCCTTCAAGTTGTACCTCCCATTTTAAGAGTCTGCAGGAGGGCTTAGTTTCTTTCCGTAATCCTAACTATCCATCTTGCCTCCCAATTCCTTCCACTGGCTCACCAGAGTCTTCAGTCTGAGGTTGGAGTCCATTTTGCAGCGCTGATCCTGGCCAGCCAACATCCATTAGAGATAAATGGTAACGCTGGGGCGGGGGGGGGGGAGGGAAGTCCCAGCCACTTGCCCCAGCCACTCCCAAAGTATCTGAGGTGTCTGCTGGGTGTCTCTCGTCCTCTGCTAGCTCCTCTTCTGGGTGGCCATGGGACGGTCAGATCCTGCATGGCTCAGCCTGGCACCAGGGCTGCGATTGTGGGGGCCTAGGTGGGGGCAACAACAACAGGTGCTCGACCTCCAGGGCTTCTGTTGGGGTTGAAGCTGACCCACTCCTTGGTCCATGGGTCCAAGCCTGGCACCAGGGCTGCGATTGTGGGGGGCTAGGTGGGGCAACAACAGGCGCTCAACCTCCAGGGCTTCTGTTGGGGTTGAAACTGACCCACTCCTTGGTCTATGGGTCCATCATGTTGTTGTTGTTGTTTAGTCATGTCCGACTCTTCGTAACCCCATGAACCAGAGCACGCCAGGCCCTCCTGTCTTCCACTACAGTCCAGGGGACTCTCAAGAGCCTCCTCCAGCACACACAAAGTTAAAAAATATGTTTTTAAAAAATAACAGTGCAACGTTAACACCACTCACTCCTTTTTTGACCTTAGTATTATAATTTTTCTCACTTCTCTCTCTCTCTCTCTCAATAATAAGACATTTAGTGTCCTTAGTCACTTACCAGTGCAAGAGGGGTTGTTTCATCAAAGAACTGGCTGACCTTCATTTTTATGTCCATGTTTCCATGTGCAGCAGCCAAAGAGGAACCTGGGAGATCAGACATTTGCTGTTAACCCAGAGGTCGGTTTGATAAAGAGAGATAAAGCATTCAGACTTAGGGCATCTGAGCTGAAATCCCCATCTAGAGTCATCGGGTGATCATAGCCAGGGTCACGATCTCTTTCTGACCTACGGTACCTTACACTTTATCCACTGAGAGATAAAATAGAGAAGAAAAACTGCCACGACATGCCATCTTAACTATGTTGGAGAAAAGGGATGCTGCAAATATAACGAACAAATAAATAAAATAATGATGCTCTGGGAGTAACAAGCCTCTCAGACTCTCTGTTGGGAGCATTTAACTTGTTATAGACAACAGAACAAACGACAAACAAGGACAAAAACCCCAAATTTCCAAGATCAAGATAGAAGAACTTGGACTGAGATTATTCCCCCCAGTGTGGCTGTCCATAGGTTGCTGTCTTAATGCTGAGCCTGCAGACATGACAACTAAGAGATCAAATAGCTGAGGAGCTGCCAGAGAGGAAAAGGGGCTACGTGTGAGTAGGAGAATCTTTCAAACAGAGTGAGTTGTGGGACTCTTGGGAGGTGACGAGTGGTGCAGAGGACAGGATCAAAACAGCCAGACGAGAACTGATCCAGCAAAGAGTTGGAATACTGACTGATGTCTAGAAAAAGAACTATTCCTCTCTCTCTCTGTAAAGGGTTAATGGTACCCAAAGCTGTTGCATGAGATAAAAGAAGGGTGGGGGCAGGATCTGAACGACAGCCTTGCAGGAGGAAGGAATTAAAACTTTTCCTTGACGCATCAGTCCTCGTCTTTGCCCTGTGAGGTGTCTTCTGCTTTGTGAACGAAGAAACCCAAGCCCTTGCCGAGATCTTAAAATCCTAGAAACGAGGCACAAAAAGGGAAAATAATACAGGAATGTTCCTGTCCTGTTGTTGTTGGGTAAAAGGGGAAAAAAACAAAATTTACCCATGCAAAATTTATCCATTCCCAGGCCAGAAAGGTTTCAACATTCTTGTTCCAGAATGGTGTGTGCCCTTCCTTGCATGCAGCTGGGCTTGATGGCTAGAGTTATCTGTCCTCCAGGGGCTTCCTCCCTGCTTGCTGCGATCTAGAAGGTTTTGGGGAACCCTACCTTTGAAAGAATTGGTCCTCCGAAGGGGCTTCTTCGTTCTTTTAAACCCTATCAGAGCTTTCATCTTGTCGGCAACTGGAGGACCTTTGGGGGGCACCACCTTGTGGGCTCCGTTGGCCTTCAAATGGGGCGCATGGCAACCTGGCTCGCCCCCCATCAAAGTGTTGGGCATTTTTGCCAGCTGCTTATTGCGAACACCGGCAGGTTGTGGGGCACACGCCCCAAAGCCTTTGGAGGTTGTCCGCGGGGAACGGACGCCCTCCCCAACCGGAGTGTCTTCTGGATGCAGAATTTGCCCGGAGTCGACCTTCTTCTTCTGACTGCAACATGATTTCTTCCAGGCGAGGCTCAAACCTCTCCTTAGGGCAGAAGGTTCCTCGTTTGGTGGGAATTCCTTCAGCCTCAAGCCGGAGGGTCCTTCGGGGGCCGGAGAGGAGCGCTCCGGTTTGGCCTTTGCTGCATCATCCTGAAGAGGCGGTGGGATCTTATTCTTCCACGGCCAAGGTCCCGGCTTGGCTGAGACCCCGGCCTCTTTCAGGACCCCCTCTGGGGCCGGCAGGCTCTTTGGCTGCTCGGTGGCCTTGTAGCACAAGCGTTTTTCACACAACTTGAAAAAAAAATCAGTCATTTCTCTAGCTTGGCTGACTTTGCCTCCCCTCCATGGGACCACAGCTGGCGATGCCTTTGGAGGCCCTGGAAGGATTGTGACAACCTGGTTACCGTCGGCAACCGGCCTGCTGGTCCTCAGCCCATCCCTTTTGGCTCTCGGTTCCTGGACCAGACCTTGATAAAATGATTTTTGGGGGACGTCGTCCACGAAAGGCAACTTTTACAAGGGCAGGATTCGACCCTTTCCCCCAGAAATCTGATAAGGGGAGGTAGATAGGAAGTTCTTTTGGTCCTTTTTAAGGCAGGACCCTCAGCCCCAAAAAGAAGTAGCTTTGGGGGCCCAACTGTTTTGCTCCCTTTCTACACTCTCAGAAATTATTATTATTCTCTAATAATATACTCTATTTTATTAATTTTATTTT